CACAGCTGAAGGTACACTCATTAAATCAAGTGCTACTAGAAAATTTTTTTTAAATCTTCTATTGTTACCAAGGTAACTACCTCCTTTAGATTACCGGAATTGTACACTGACCATACATTTACAACCTTATTATCATTTATAAAACTACTTATCACAATATTTTTTCAACTTTTACATTCAAACCATTTCCATTTTTTAACCAATTTTTTCTAATACCTAACAAAAATCCGCCTTCCGCTCTACCCTTTTTATTTTCTCTTACCGCATCTATAGATTTCCAAATAAAGTTTTTTGACAGTTTTCTTTCTAAATTAAACCAACTTTTGTTTTCTAACTATGTTTCGCATAAGCTTATAAAATCATATTTTTCAACGAAGTTCCAAAAATCTCTATCTTTATTTAAAATTTCCGCGCAGTTCCAAAAAATGAAATTTCTAGAACTTTTACAATTATTATAACGTATTACGTTCTTACATGCATTACCTTTCCTCTTCCGCACAGCGATTCTTTTTATTTCCGCTCTGTTTTCATACCAATTCATACACACCTCACACCTATTTATAATATGATACAATGTACCTGAGTCTCTTTTGCATAGCATACATAACCTGTCTTCCGCTTTTAACCAATATTTATTCCTCGCATCAAAATTACCACACCTTATCTTCGCAATTATACTAATCTCACTTTCTTTTCTACATCTAGTCAGGTACTTTGGTACTTCTTTGGGTATGATACTCGCGTATCTAGTATTATATCTAGATTCCCTAATTTTACTATCCAATACCTGCCTTTCTATATCTTTCATCCTTTGACTGATTTCCGCAATAATATCCCTATCAGAGTTTAATCCTTGGTTAACAATCATTGTGCTTAGACCTACGTAGTTACAAAATTTTTTTCTTTCCGCACTATATAAATCACACTCATTCCATTCCTCTTTCTCACTTCTACACACCTTCAATAACCTATTCTCCTCTAGACTTTGTATTTTCCGTTCAAATTTTAACGCTCTCACCCGCCACGCATCACATAGTTTATCTATGCCGGTTTCCCTATAGACTATGTATCTCGGTGTACAAAAATCCAGCCTCAATACCCATCTAAAATAATCCAGCTGTATTTTCTCCAATTCCTTTTTTTCCTCNTATTAAAACATCTAAGTGTTATAATTTTAAGCCAAAAGTCAGCAGTTGATACGGTAGCTGGGTCCCGTATAGTGTATCGGATTCTTTATATCACCTTTCTTAGTCTACATTTAATATTTTCTATTCAGTGGCAGTGGCTTGGAAATCATGTCAATATTAAATAGTCAATTTTCAATTCTCACCGCTGGGCCACCAAAAACAGTATAAAACTAATGAAAGTGAAGAGGTCCTAATCGTTCGTAGGTTATGCTCAGTTTTCTCTAGGACAACAATACTTAAACTTTTTTTACTTTATTACTCTGGAGTTGTAAAACTATTGTTACAAGATTTTATCCGTTCACTTCTATAAAATGAAGATATTGTAATATTTTGTAACATAATTTTATTTTTGACATCGGATCATCATTTGACTGGACATGTTTAAAGTATGGTCTTAACCGTTTTATTTTAATGTTATTCGTGGGTCTCTTAGGATTCAGCTCGTGAGCTTTATTTGTTCTTTTTAGTCGAGTAAAAATAATTATTTAAGTAATATGGATGATTTAATCAATGTTTAATTTTCAATTCTTTCATTAAAATAATTTAAAACAGGTATTCTCTTAGATAAAGTCCATTCAGATCACTTCACAGATTTTGATATTAATTATAATACTGATAAAAAACTTACATCTATCACTGACTGCTGTTGCTGCTGCTTCAGAGTTCCCCAATGCTTCGTGCAGTAATTCCCAGTGATTACTTAAACTACACGAATGAGTTCGTGGTCTATAAGATGTTGCGATTTCTGCCTTCTCTGCTATCGCCGGAACCTCTTTCGGCGGGCCTCTCTCGTTGTACCTCGCTCCTTAGCGTACACGGAAAGACCGAGATCATTGCAAATCCCCTACTACAATATTTAATCGTAAGAAATACTACACCAACGTTATATTTGTTGCTTAATAACACAAGAATTTTTAGTGTCACCTTAAGTGGTCTTAAATTTCGTGCCAAGTATATAGGTTTTAAGATATCAGTACAAGTATTAAGTGACGGTGGTACGGTCTTTTCTCTTACCAACTGTAGCTATGAAAAATAGATGTATCCAGTAGGTGCTTACGTTTTACATAACATACTTGAGCGTAGGTTTTTGACAGACGTGGTACGGGAAAAAACCGTACCAAGCTATGAAAAACTCATAACTAAGTATAGTAGAGGATTTTCAATGAACTCGGTCTTTCCGTGTAGGTTTTAGACGGACCTGGTACGGGAAAAAACCTTACCAAGCTATTAAAAACTCGTAACTGAATGTAGTAGGGGATTTTCAATGAAAAAGGTCTTTCCTTGTAGTCTGATATTATTGATACTCTCGAACTGCACCCGAGTTGCATGTTATGTCTTACAGGTATAAGGTACTTGCGAGTCGTGAGAGTTACCACTCACGCGGCTGTTCATGGCCTAAGATAAGAAGTTTCACTTTGAAAAAATGATAACAATAATAATAACAATAATAATTATTAATGTCAGCAACGTCTGCTTCAATGCCCTGTACAATTTAAGGTGACAAAATAGCGCAAAAATAAGATCTCTAATTGACAGTTGAATAAACATAATGCTTTTAAAATTATGAATTTTCTATATGAACTTTGAAAAATTGTTGTTAATATTTTTTGTAAATTGCACTCTGGCTACATAAAAAAACAAGTTAATAATTTTATTTGTACGTAATTCAAGCAAGTAACAAGGAAGATTTACTTTCATAAAACCACAGAAAGAAAATTGTACTCAGTAACACTTCAATTCCTTCCTTTGTTTTTCGATTAAAGTTTATTAGGAATACTTTTAGAGCTTGTTCATGATCTTGATTTTTCGTTTTGAATAAGACTTCAAATATTGACATTTTGTGTTTATAGACGCTTTCACCTTACATTTTTTTTTTTTTTTTATATTTCATATGTACGTGTCCCTACAATTAGATCAGCAAATCAGCAACGATGTATTTAATTGTTGTAAATAAATTATAAAACTTATCTTATAAAAACGTCAAAAGGTACAAAATTAGTTTCCAAGTTATGAGCATCCTATGTCTTACATTATAGCTGTTTTTATGAGATTATTTAACTTCTTGTAGTCAATGTAAAAATTATTCCTTATTATTGTATTGCATTATTCGTACCATTATTTTTGAAGATAATTACTTGTAAATTTGTGTCATTTTTAAAATGTATAATGTTGTAGAATGAGTAAGTTGTAATCGTAATTCAAATTGAACTAACTATTCAATATGAAGATCCATTTATATCAAGTACACACTTTTTAATTAGCTTAATTATTATAGTATATTCTAAATAACCCACCACTAACTCCTTTTGATACGATGTATGTAACCTGTAATGCTTTTAAGAATCGTTTCCGAAACGTAACAAACACAGCAGATACACTTTTTAGGTAAATAAATCTAACGATTGTGAAACATTTCAAATGAAGCTTGACTGTGACTTAAAAGTGGATATTCCAAGGTTTCGAAAGCGTTTTAGAAACGTTTCTGGCTTCGTAGATGAAACCTTTTAGAAACGTGCAATGTTATGTTGATTTTGCTGTCATGCGGGTTGTGCTGGGCAAGTATTGCAATAATTTTAGATTCAGGGTGGTAGTAAAAAACTTGACTACTTTTTGTTTATCTGATAACTTTTTTTTCTTATTATTGCCTTAAATATTTTAATTAGTGCAACTATTGTTATTTGATCTGTTTTTGTCAATTAAAATTCTTTTATGGGAAAACATTAAACATTTAACACATTAAACATGCTTCATAAGGCATAAGAAGTTATGGAGCTACCGCTATAAATGTTAGTGTATTACATACCACTATGTTACGTTATTAGATTTTGAGTCATAAATCTTTTTAAATAGGTATAACTCTATATCACAATATTATTTTCGTAGTTATGACTTTTTGTTAGATAAGTATACAACACTCTAATCTTGCCTAACCTTTAACTTTAGGCCATCGATTACTTCCGGATTTTTCATATTTATTACATTATAAGATAAGGCATGACATGGTTGCTAAATTAATTTATTCTTTTAATTTAAATACTTATAGATACAAAATCTCAACTAATAGAAACAAAATGTTCGCTTTAAAAAATAAATGGAATACTAAGCAAAAATAAACAGCTTACGTTTAATAAAGACTTATAAAAGGACGTGAGATAAAGAAACGAATGATATACGCAAGCAATACAAGTGCATTACATAAGATATAAATTATACAGTAGATCAACGTCAGCTTGGCGTACGATTCATTACCACCACTTCATACATACCACTTGGTGAAACCTAGCACCACAATGCTGAGTCAGCAATTAAAAAAAAAGTACAATGGAAGTATATATATATGTATTTATTGATCAGCCTATTGGCCCAGAAAAAGGACTTGGTTTACAAAGAAAATAAATAACTTATCCGATCCCACACATTCCATCCACATCTTACATAAAATACTCACATGTCCCAAATAAAATCATACAAACATACCTCACATACCCAGCTCTGTGGCTAATTTTCATCGCAATCCTCGCTAACAAAATCATACCGTCCGCTCTCCTTTTTTACATTCCTTCTCATACCTTATGAACAGTTTAATTACCTCATTTATTCCAAGCTCGCTAGTAACATATTTATTGATCATTCTTTTTATTTCCGCTCTGTTTTCATACCAATTCATACACACCTCACACCTATTTATAATATGATACAATGTACCTGAGTCTCTTTTGCATAGCATACATAACCTGTCTTCCGCTTTTAACCAATATTTATTCCTCGCATCAAAATTACCACACCTTATCTTCGCAATTATACTAATCTCACTTTCTTTTCTACATCTAGTCAGGTACTTCAGTACTTCTTTGGGTATGATACTCGCGTATCTAGTATTATATCTAGATTCCCTAATTTTACTATCCAATACCTGCCTTTCTATATCTTTCATCCTTTGACTGATTTCCGCAATAATATCCCTATCAGAGTTTAATCCTTGGTTAACAATCATTGTGCTTAGACCTACGTAGTTACAAAATTTTTTTCTTTCCGCACTATATAAATCACACTCATTCCATTCCTCTTTCTCACTTCTACACACCTTCAATAACCTATTCTCCTCTAGACTTTGTATTTTCCGTTCAAATTTTAACGCTCTCACCCGCCACGCATCACATAGTTTATCTCTGCCGGTTTCCCTATAGACTATGTATCTCGGTGTACAAAAATCCAGCCTCAATATTCATCTAAAATAATCCAGCTGCATTTTCTCCAATTTCTTTTTTTCCTCAAAACCCCAGATCTCCGCCCCATATGACATAACACTTCTAACCAAATAATTAAACAACATCTTCCTTCTCCTGAAATCATTTTTACACCTTCTTTCCCCCAGCCCCCACACTCTTTTCGCCGCAATAATCCCCTTTTTTTAAGCTCCTCTATATGATCTTTAAAATTCGCTTCCCTATTAAAGATAAAACCTAAATATTTAACGGATTTAACCTCCTCCATCTCCTCTCCCTTGTACAGCCATTTTTCTTTCCCACTGTTCCTGCCCTTATTGAACACTAGAATTTTTGTCTTTACTACGCTTAGACTCAGATCTCTGCCTTCCAAAAACCTCTTTAATACCCCCAACATATCTAACATTGCCTCACTGTTTAATGCTAGTAGGACTAGATCGTCCGCATAAGCTAACGACCATACCCTTATTCCCCCAATAACTACCCCACCTACATTCCTATTTTTATATTCTTTTTCTAAAGCAGCTATATAAATGCAAAACAGGATCGAGCTCAGCACGCACCCCTGCCTCACACCTTTCGTACTCCAAAATTTGTCGGAGTACGTATTGTTCACTTTTACCGTAACCATCGTTTCTTCATATAGTTCTTTCACTCTTTCAATTAAACCTTTGCTCATGCCTTCCTCCTTCATCACCTCCCATAGCCTCTCTCTATTAACCGTATCAAAAGCCGCAGTTAGATCCACGAAGCTTGCAAGAACTTTTTCTTTCTTAGACCTTGCCGTTTGAACCACATGATTCAGGATATAAATGTTATTCATAGTAGACCTCCCCTTACGAAATCCGGCCTGCCCTTCCGGGAGAATTCCTTTCGCCTCCACCTCCCTCAGCAGTCTACACCTCAATACTTCTGTGTACACCTTATATGAGGTCGGCAGCAAGGAGATCCCCCTATAATTTTTTTCCTCGTTGACGTCACCTTTCTTGTAAAGCGGGACCACTACCGCCAACTTCCAATCTTCGGGCAAACCTTCTCCCGCCCATATCTTCTTTAACATAAACATCAATCTTTTGGATAATTTTGGTCCACCGTGTTTCCAGACTTCATTCGAAATATCATCGCAACCAGCTGCCTTCCTTTTTTTTAACGAATTAATCGCCATTATTACCTCCTCCTCCATTAGACTTTCAGTATCCTCTGCCTCCAATTTCCTTCTTGCTCCCACCATTCTCTCACAGCTACCCTCAATGAGAACTCTAAAATATTCCTTCCATGCATCCATTGAAATGTCATTCTCAACAAAATTTTTCTTTTTACCAGCGCCTAAGAACTTCCACACATCTTTTTCGTGCTTGATGCTCCTAAGTTGTGCTGCTTCCATCTCCTTAAGGTTAGCTGCCTTATCTTCACACATCTTCCTCCATTCCCTTCTCTCTTTCAAATATACTACTTTTCCTACCAAATTTTTTCTCCATTTATAATACGCCCTCTTCACTTTTCTTTTCCTCTTCCTACATGCACTATCCCACCACTTTCTTTCGCCTAACCTCCATACCTTGTACTTGATCTCCTTTTTTGTAACAGATCTGTCTACTATACTCTTGATTCCATCCCAAATTTTCTGTACGGAATCCTTCTCCGTTACTATGCATTCTTCGCACAAATCTTCTGCCGCCTGCTGGAATTTCGCTGTATCTTCTTCCGACCATGAACAAACCTTTTTTTTCATTTGCGCTCCGCACTCCTGCTCCGCTCTACTTTCAGCATCGTGTACTTCGAGGCAGAGGGGCAAGTGATCCGCATCCACCCTTCCCTTTATATCAAATTTATTAACCCAGTCCAAAGCAAAACAATTAACTATCACGTAATCAATTACTGTACTTCCTCTCGGCCCTATGTATGTAAACTCACCTTCCTCATCTCCCTCATGCCACCCGTTTAAAATATAAAACCCTTTATTTTCCACTACCTCTATCAAATGCCTACCTTCATTTCCAATCCCTGCATCTTTGCTTTTCCTTCCTTTAAGTTCACCCGACTCCCCTTCCACAAAACTACCTAGCCCTCCCGTTCTGATATTAAAATCCCCCCCAATAATTACCTTCTCCCCCTCAACAAATTCATAAGCCTCTAAAAATTCGACCACCTCCTTTAGATTACCGGAATTATACACCGACCATACATTTACAACCTTATTATCATTTATAAAACTACTTATCACAATATTTTTTTCAACTTTAACATTCAAACCATTTCCATTTTTTAACCAATTTTTTCTAATACCCAACAAAAATCCGCCTTTCGCTCTACCCTTTTTATTTTCTCTTACCGCATCTATAGATTTCCAAATAAAGTTTTTTGACAGTTTTCTTTCTAAATTTAACCAACTTTTATTTTCTAACCATGTTTCGCATAAGCTTATAAAATCATATTTTTCAACGAAGTTCCAAAAATCTCTATCTTTATTTAAAATTCCCGCGCAGTTCCAAAAAATGAAATTTCTAGAACTTTTACAATTATTATAACGTATTACGTTCTTACATGCATTACCTTTCCTCTTCCGCACAGCGTCCAACACACTTTTTCCGGGCCCTACCGAAAAATCTCTTCCATACTCTCGGTAAACTCCAGTTGCGTCAAGTTACTTTTCTTCTTCTGCTGTCGCCCTGCACCCTCTTCCCCTTCCACATTCCCCCTTGTCTTCTGCTCACCGCTTTTATCGCCGTTGCCGTTCCTCGCACGCCCTATTCTCACGCATACTTTCTCTGCTGCTTCTTCACCTAACCACTTAAACCATTTGTCATTTAGCCAAAAACCACCCATGCTACTTTTTATTTGATAACCTATCTCCTTTTTACTCTTTACCCACTTCCCCAGCAACTCCTGCCTCTTTCTCTCTTCATAGCTTAAATCATTCTCTATGTAAAATTTCGAGCCCCTTAGCTTATGCTTATTTTGCCAAACTAGATCCCTATCCTCCTTCTTGCTAAACCTTACTACGAACACACTTCCACTCTTTCTCACATGCTCTACATCCACATCGACATACAATTTTTCTTTTAAAAACACATTCATCCCCACTCGCCACTCACCGTGCAGAGACAAGCCTCTAAAGACTAAGTTTGCTTGTCTCGACATCTCATCCTGCCATTTGACTAATCTTTTCATCGCGCTTACTTCAAAATCTGAGAAACAGCTCCTACCGGCCAGCGATTTCCCATCGTTAGATATCGACCCTCCCGATTGTCCCGAAGCAACACTACTACTCGTTTTACTGCCTTCCCTCTCCTCCGCCCTCAATGCCTCCTCGATGCTACCTGCTTTATCGACCATTTTTTCAAAATTATCCATCGTAGCTTTGACTTTAGCCCTGAAATCCTGCCACCCATTCTCCAATTTCTCGATTCTTTCAGACAAATCAACTTCTATCGCCTTAATTTCAACTTTGTTTTTCTCACACACAACATTTTCCTGCCTTATCTTTTTCAGCTCTACCTCTATTCTTTCTATCATACTATCTCTCACTTTGTTAAACGCCTCCCGTTCTTTATTCAAACATTCTTTTAATTCACACACCTTCTCCCTCAATAATTCACAGCCCCCGCATTCCAAAACTCTCTCTCTCTCTTGTCGAATTTCACCGTTCTCGCAAAGCTATCCGTTATAGCTGGCTGCCTGTTCGTAGTCACGCTTGCTTTGTTTCGCTTCGTTTCCCCTATACCTTTCACCACCGCCTTCCCCCCGCACACACCTCCACCGCCACACTTCTCTCTTTCGCACTGTCCTCGCTTTTCTCACCCTTCTTCTTAATGTCCATCATCTTCTTATCAACTTTCTCACCGCTCTTCTCTGACATATTGTCTTCCGTATAGGAGAAAATCCTTTCTCATACTTCGTCTAAAACGCACACAAGCAAGCCGCGTCGTGCCGCGCCGCACGCTCTAACCTATAAAACACACACCTACACCTTTTTGCTTAAAAATAACCGAAGCGCACGGTTTCCACATCAACTACCTGCATGATCCGATCCATTCTTATAACTCACTCAAAATCACACCGTTAACAATAATAAAGAATGCTTAAAAACACACGATACAGATCGATTGCCACAGAGCTTCTCTCGGACGCAACCACTCACTCGCGCGGCCATTAACCAAGTCCAAGTACAATGGAAGTATACTGTAAGTAAGAATAAATAATGCCTTGGAGTCGGTGGCTGGTTCCTGATGTATAGAAATTAAATTTATTTGTTTGTAGAATGAACCTCTGAGTTCCGCCCTTCAATTAAAATTTCAGACGTAACAGATGCGATTTTTGAATAAAGATCAGCTGACAATCGGGTCTACCTCTGAAGATATTGTTCACTGTAGCTGTGTGCTTTGAAACTGAATTATGTCGGTTTCATTAAATAGTACTGAAGTGGTTAGAATGTCATCGTTTTCGTTCTTGGGACGGTTTTTCTATCACAATATGAATCTCGAAGTATTTTTAGACTAGTAAAAATTTGACTAGAATCTCTGTATTTATTTAAAAAATGTAATCTTTGACCTTATAAAGAAAAGTTAAAGCCAGAACTATCATCCTATGTGAGCCATTTCATAGAATATGATCTGTGGTACCCATTTTAAAGTTGTTGGTGGTTTTGTATTTGTCACTACCTATACTGACTGAGGTGAAAGTAGCAACCGTAAACCTTTTTTAGCTGTAACAAAACGTTTGCAGAGTTAATTATTTCTATCTTGAATTTCTTATGAACACCCTAGGCTTATGATGTCCAAGGATAGTTCCTGAGCTCCTTAAATAACGATTTTAAAAACTTCTCTGTAGGCAACCTCTAGTTTCGTTTTAAAAACTGAGTTAACGAAAGGTAATCCAATAGTTTGTATTTATCCTAAAAAAGATTGTTCGGCACAGTAGCAAAAATTGGAAATTATTAAAAAAATACTGGAAGTAGCACAGCTGAAGGTACACTCATTAAATCAAGTGCTACTAGAAAATTTTTTTTAAATCTTCTATTGTTACCAAGGTAACTATACGCTTATACTTATTTTTATATTCTGCACAGTGAAATGAAATATATATTAAAAATTTATCTTTATACAACATATTCTAAAATTCATTAGCAATTCTTTAGTCATTCCCTCGTGACGCTTTGTCGGTAACCGCCACAAGCGCCCTCACCTTTTCTGCTTTTTACGGGCCTGCATCAAGCTAAGAGCCTACGTCTAATACATACATGTGCTAGTGCTTGTGAGCAGTCCGACAGCAGCAGCCTACAGCTGCAGCAACGCTTTGGCACCAACCTTCCGCCACGTCCAGTCGTTTCTCTGTCTTTTATTTAAACACATATATTGACAGTAAATTAGTCCCCAAACTGTTGTTAATTCAGTTAAATTAAGCAAATTTCCACATTTGTTTCTTCGAGCTAGATCTTATGTATTTCTTATGTATTCAACGAATTATGTATCTAGTATCAGTTCTTGAAGACCTTATCATCCAGAATAATTATGTAAGTAAAACCTATGCGCCCAGGTGGCCACCTCCACTGTCGACAGATGCAAGTATCATTCTATTGTGAGGCCAAGTAGCCTTTTACGTACGATATTTGTAACAAGCAAGAGATTGTGGCCACCATGAGTCGTATAGTCTGTGCGATACGTTGCATGGGAGGGCGCGGGCGAGCGTCGTGACCGCCATGTAACTGTGTCACCCGTTGGCAAGCTCAAGGGGACTGATGTTGTCACTAAGCTGGCTGTCATGCATACTTTGCTTGTACTGTTATTAAGAACGACAGACTTGTAGTCTGCCACAATAAATTCGAGGAAATGTCATTGTCACTGAGCTGGGAGCCTCGCATACTGTGCATATGCTGTTGATCGTCACGCTGACGTGACTACCATTTGCACACGCTGTGTGCTGCACTCAAACTTGTTGGCCATATTGTTTGTGTCGTCTGATATGCACCGATGTTGCTGGATAAACAAGGATGTCTAGGGAGGCTTCTAGTTTGTGCAAAACAGGGCCGTGCGCTCTTTTTTCCTTTTTCCGCGCATGCTTAGGTTAGAATTGGTTGTGAGTCCAACCGTGCGAGTCAGTCAATGTGATTTCGCTCTAATTGACACTTGTTTTATTGAATTCATTAAAAAGACGACGCGCGCAGTGTTGGACATTAGGGAGGAGCAATGGAGCATGGGATTTATAGAAGCATGGCTTGAGATGCTCAACGGCTATTGGCAGGATTTTCTACTGAACCGTCATAACTTACTCGCGGCTCCAGCTGAAATTACAACCGCTACTATCTTACGTGTACGTGATGACAGAAGCGAACTGCATTTTAACAAGATTACGCATCTATGATGCGTGGAGCTGGCTTGCTCTGTGGCCAACAGGCAGTAATTTGGACCTGCAGGCTGACCTTGCTTAGCACAGAGAGTCAAGATTGCCAACAATCAGTATACCCTTATTTTTAAGTCGGTGGGAGGACTGGAAAGCCTTTCGCGACCTTTTCTAGGCTCTCGTGTATAGTGAACTCAGCTTTTTGATGTTAAGGAGGGTTCCTGAATAGTCTGCGCTGCTTGCCATGGTGCTCACTACTAAGGATGCTGCAGCAAATTTCAGGATTTGAGTACAGTGGCCAAAAAAAACATATCAAGATTCTTGAAAAAGTACCTCAACTGCTTGAAACCAAGGCACATGGTCAAGGTCTGCCCCTCTACGTCAGTCTGTCAGCACCGCCAGGCAACTCTGGTGTACCTTATGCCGAGAGATGGTATTTCCATGACTCCTCTATCAGCGCTGCACCTGCAACGTCTCTACACTTCGGTGGACCCGTTGGACCCGATGACTAGACAAAACTGGGCTCAGCAGAAGGATCTCGCTCATCCTGAGCTTAACCAGACTCACGAGGTTGACCTTTTCAAAATGAAACT